AAAAAAAAAATTAATTAAACCACCAGTTACCACGATCACAGGTGACCATAATGATGTCTCCGTGGACCGAGAGAGATGTTCACGATTATGCCGCGGCCGCGGGTGACGGGGATGTGTCCTTAATGATCGCAGCCCGCAGGAGACGTTCGCGATTTAGCCGCGGCCGCGGGTGATGGGGATGAAATGAAATGAAATATTATTTATTTATACAGGCAAAAGTTAGGGCCACATGGCCCTTTCTTACACTTAACCTGTCATAAATATAACACATATATTTTAACAATTACATTAATATACAACAAAGACAAAATCTAAATCATGGATACAGAAACATTAACAAAAGAAAATAACTTACATTTTAAACTGTACAAAAATAATCTTCCTGTCTCCCTCTCTCTCTCTCTCTCACACACACACACACACCTAGCACATCTGTCAGTGACCAACCAGCGTACAAGCCCCTAGGACAAACCAACCATGGCCATACGTTCAAAATACATATGTCCATATGTGTAGCCCTACTATGTGTAGTCCATATAGTCAGTGTGAGCCCAAAATACATATGGGATGTGTCCTTAATGATCGCAGCCCGCAGGAGACGTTCGCGATTTAGCCGCGGCCGCGGGTGATGGGGATGTGTCCTTAATGATCGCAGCCCGCAGGAGACGTTCACGATTTAGCCGCGGCCGCGGGTGACGGGGATGTGTCCTTATGATCGCAGCCCGAAGGAGACGTTCACGATTTAGATGCTGTATCGAGTTGTCAATGATGATGTCCCAGTGATTGCGGCCCGTGTGCGGGAGATGTTCACGATTTCGCCGCGGTCACAAGTGTCGATGATGATGTCCCCGTGATTGCGGTCCGCGGCAGATGTTCATGATTTCACCACGGCCGCGAGTGTTGATGATGATGTCCCCGTGATCGCGGTTCACGGGAGATGTTATTGATTTCGCCGCGGCTGGGGGTGTCAATGAGGACGTTCCCGTGATGGCTTCCCGAGTGGGATGTTTACGATTTCGGCACGGCCGCGGGTGACAATGATGAAGTCGTCATGATCGCAGTCCACGGGAGAGGTTTTTAACACGACTTTGCCACGATCGCAAGTTTCGATGATGATGTCCCCGTGATTGCGGCCCGTGGGAGATGTTCACGATTTTACTGCGGTCCCGGATAACTATGATGGCTTTGACTTGGCTTAGGAGAGATGTCCATGATTTCATCCAGGATCACGGGGGCCGATGATGATGTTCCCTTGATGTATAGGAGATAGTCACTATTACTTCCGCGATCGCAAGGAATTTTCACCACAGGGGGAGGGCCGCTCAAGTAATTTGGCCTAGGGCCGCAAGTACCCCAAATCCGGCACTGATAATATTGAAGCCCAAGATTTTCCAAACAAAATGGTATATAGAACAGTATAATTAACATTGTTTTTAAGCTTCTCAGATCAGTTTTAATAAAACCTTGCAAATGAGCAAAAAATAGGCTGACATTAAGGCCAAAACACGTGACACTCGGAGGGCTAAACAAAACCTTAAGAAAGACATTACCGAACTCAAAATTTAAACTAAGTTATAAAACAAGGAATAACGCTTTCAACATAATACAAAAAAGAACAAATACGATACCCAACCCACCAAATGTATATAAGAAATCAGGAATTTACAAATTATCATGTAACAACTGTGAAAAATACTATATTGGTCAAACAGGTCGAACATTTGAAGTCAGATACAAAGAGCATATACAGGCAATCAGATCAAACAATATGACAACACAAAAATCCTCATACGCCGAACATATACTTCAGACCGACCATACATACTCAGAAATGAATAAAAATATGCACATTCTGGATATTGAAAATAAAGGTGAAAAAATGAATACAAAGGAAGACTTTTATATTTATACTCACCATATTAATGACAAAGACAATTTACTAAACTTGACACAAATTCAAAATCAAAACGTAATATTCAATGAAATTATACATCTTAAAGAAAACACCTCCTTCCCTTAATATAAAAGTTATCACCTGTTCTTTAATAAGAAATATCTAATAATGTTTGTAAATAAAAGAAACTAATAGGTTATATACTATACTGTGATCATGGCATTAATGTCCGAAACATGTAAGTAATATAAAATAAAATGTTTTTAGGGTACTGTGGTATTTTGATTTGCTTAGTAACATTTAAAGTAGCCCTCATTGATGTATACAATAACAAAATATATTTATATATATATATATAAATATATATATATATATATTTATTTATATATATATATATATATATATATTTATATATATATATATATATATATATATATGTGTACGTTAGCACGATATCTCGAGCAAAAATCATCCGATTTTGATGAAATTTGGCACAAACGTGTAAACCTACATTTATTTGAACGAGTTCGCGAACCAGCATGATCGGACTATGGGAACAGGGGTTTATGGGGGGTTTTATGGGGTAGAAATAGATTTTCCATTTTTGACCCTAAAAACAAAAAAATTTACAATTTCTTTTCACACCATTTTGTAGAGTATAAAAAACAAATAATTTAGTATATTGAAGCGTTATTGTGTGCCGATAGGTTACGGAAAAATTCCAAAAAACTGTAAATTTAAAATCCCCATGTTATTCTTATGGAGAAAAAGTCAACTGTTGTAGTTTGCTTGTTTATGAACATATTTTGATCGAATTTAGAAAATACATTAATTTCTTACTAACCTACTAACATAACAAAACCACCTTTTTACCCTCCCTGTTGCAGCAAACCTAAGCACCTTTCTTACTAACAATTAACATTTTACAAAAAAAAAAACACCGTTACCCTCCCTAATGCAGCAAACCTAAGTACTTGTTAAACTAATGCTATTTAAATAGGGAATAAATATGATATTTTTAAGGAGACATTTTATTGTAAATCCTAACAGGCTAATGGAAATTCGCTTAGTCTGCAGGTTTGCTGCGGCGGGGGTATTTTTTGGTTAATGCTGATAAAAAGGCTTCCACGATTGAAATACAGTATTGGAAATTGTCTTCGTCAAATAAGAAAAGGCAAAAAATTGTGTGTTGACATAAACTTAGTTCTTGGTCAAAACCACTTAATTAGCATCCCTTCCCTACCCAGTTATTATTTCTAAGTCTATGCTCATTTTGTAAAGGTTTAACAAAATTAGTCTTAAGTAAAGGCATCTCATTGACAGAACTTAACCCTAAATTTGTTTCTGATGAACATTAATACAACCACTATTATTAGCTTAGTGTAAGTATATGTGGTGGTAATCCTCCTTAAGATGCGATTGATTTACATATTCTACAAAAAAAGATTCTAATCAACGTTTAAATACTAACTATTTTGCGACTGGTTAGGGTTCCATTGCCCATAGTTATCGAAACTAATCACGACATAAATAGCCTACTTTTTGTTAGTTTTATGAAACGGAAATTACCTCTATGTTCTACTGTTATATATAGGTGCTTTCTTTTCTACCGTTCATGCTAGGCTACGGTAGCTATATTATTTGAACCTTTTTTGCTTGGAGCAATTAACAAAGTAGGCCTACTTAAGTACTTAATGAACAAATATCTGTACGTACTTCATCTCTATTCCCAAATTGTTTTCTTTAAGAGTAACCGTTGAGGTTACTCCACTTCATACAAAATATTGATTAAACACTACAATAAATCTCAAATATAAATGTTAGTAAATTTACAAAAAGTGTAGAATCAATCTTTAACATATGTTTTGAAATCAAAACAAAGAAGATCTTCTTTTAATCTTGAATCGTTTCTTTAATCTTGAAAACAATTGATTTTAACTTTGACATACCGGTAACTAAAAAGTCTTGATTATTAAGGGTAACGTTATCCCTTTATATAGTTGGGTTTATATGGTATACATTACATTGCAGAATTGACTGGCAAATGAGTAATCCAAATGTAAGCTTACTTGCTTAATGATAAATCACGATCAGCTGTATTGAAGTAAACAAAAATCAGCAGTAAAATGCCTTCTAATGCTATTCTTATGGAGAACATTTTACGTTATATCTAATTTTGTGTTAAGATTTTAGGAATTTCACTATTTTTCCCGCCGTCACGGAATCAAGACCTTTAATTTGAGCCATCTCCCGTCGTTCTACGACTTCCCAGTCGCCCACAATTTTGACGCAAAGAATCGGCTTACGTAATTAATATATAGATAGATACTATACTACTATGTGGATACTATGTGGCTGAAAAGTAACTTGCACCCCCCCTTTAACTTTTCAACCTATAAAATGATGTGCCACTTGACATATGTTGCTATTTGAAAATTTTGAACAATGAGCATTTGCAAATTTTCAAAAATATTTTTTTCTTTTTTGTAATTTTTATTATTTAAAAAAACCTCTACTTGTACCATATAAAAGAAAAGCTAATTTCATAACGAGTAAGAAAATTCAACGGGAGATGGGCTAAATGCATTGGTATAGGAAACACATAGGCCTATTTAAAAAAAATTTATTTATTTAAAAAAAACTGCCGCCATTTTGAAACTGAAAAAGAGAATTAATTTCTGTTTTTGCCAAAATGTTTGTCTATTAAATACCTTTAATATGGTGTATAACATGACAAATGTTTACATTTGAACATTCTGAGATTCGGACTAGTGACCCTCAGTTTTTGGCACACCCTGTATTGGGAAAAAGATAAAAATCTTTTTACGTTATTCCTTGGGGTCCATTTAGCGGGAAATAATTCTATTTCATCCTTGTACGTTAAGCCGTTTTTCCGTAATAAATTTGAGACACCTCTCATGGGACACCCTGTATATATAGTTTTATCCAACAGCATTGGTTAAAAAATAAAATGTGAGTTAAAAGTAAAATTGTAATTTAAACAATTTCAATATAAATTGAGAATAAAAATATACAGTAGTACTATTAATTATTAAAATGTTCTAGTGGGCCAACTTATAAAAATTTGTCTGACAAGCTAGTTTACCTGCTAGCTCAAGGTTCCTCTTCCTCAATAGTTTCCTAATCTCATCTTCTTTGCCACTTTTTATTACTTTGATTATTTGTTTGAAATCGATAACATGACTTTTTCTCTGAAAAATATGGACTATTAGTGTAAATTTTGAATACATAGTGTAGGCTACCAATGTTGTCTTTATTATTAATTTAGGCCTACTAGATGAGAAGTGGTCATTCACTAAAAATTTTTTAGCCATCCTGAAATGGTTATTTGTATAAAGTTAACACTGTCCAGCTTGACGTGAGAATCTTATACGAGTTATTTGGTGTAATGGAGGCCGGTACATACAATTTTAAAATGCTATGTATAACACATGTGGCCATTCTCTGGTGCAGTGATTTACGTGCAATAAAATGTGTTTTTCTTCTTATTAAGTTTTATAATTTAGAAGTACAGGAGGATTAAGACATAACTTAAAAACCACTCCCTACACTATTGCTTATAGTAGCCTATTTTCCCATGATGATACAAGTGGAAACTCAAGCTTAAATAGCTGGTAAATTCACTGGTGTACCTACCTTCTTTTTGGAAAGCTTTTGAGAGTAAATGCTGAAGCCATCGTCTGAATCACTAGATCCTAGCAAACGTTTCTTTTCCATTTCTGTCACCTTATAACTTATCGCAGTAAAATAAGAGGAATTAAAATAATCATTTAAAAGTAGTACACAATATTTATAAATATTATGTTTTCATCAGATGATGATATACAGTTACAATACTTAGAATGAGAAAACAAAAGCTGGGGTTAGATATAGCCCATACAAGTCTAACTGACCATATCTATATCTATAATACCCCCGTCGCAGCAAACCTGCATACTAAGCGAATTTCCATTTACCCGGCTTGATTTCTACTAAAATATTCCCTATAAATTTTCAGATTTATTTCCTATTTAAATAACATTAATTTTAGTGAGTAGTTAGGTTTGCTGCTACGGGGAAGATGTTGAGGTGTATTTTTTCAATTGAAATATTGATAGCTTAGTATGAAATAAACCAAATAGCCAAATTTGATTAAAACATATCCATAAACCAGCAAACTAGAACAGTTTATCTATTCCCCATAAGAATAACATGGGAATTTTAAATTTACAATTTTTTTAATTTTCTCCGTAGTCAATAAACATTCAAAAGCACTTCAATATACTAAATTATTTGTTTTTTTAAGCTCTTCAAAATGTCTAGAGAGAAATTTAGAAATTTAAAGTTTTTAGGGTCAAAAATGAGAAAAACCCATTTTTACCCCATAAACCCCTGATCCCATGGTCCGATTATGCTGGTTCCCGAACTCGTTTGAATAAATTTAGGTTTACACGTTTGTACCAAATTTCATCAAAATCGTATCAATTTTGCTTCAGTTGTCGCGCTAACGGACACACACATATATATATAGATTTATATATATATGTGTCCGTGAACACGATAACTTGAGTAATTTTGTCCGATTTTGATGAAATTTGGTTTGAAGGTGTAAGGCAGGATAAACTTGAATGAGTTCGCGAACCATGGTCGGACCATGGGAACAGGGTTTTACGGGGGGTTTTATGGGGTAAAAATTGGTTTTTCCAATTTTTTACCCTCTAAACACAAAATTTCCCAATTTCTCTCCGGACCTTTTTAAAGAGCTTAAAAAAAGAAATAATTCAGTATATCCAAGTGTTTTTGTACAATTATTGGTTACGGAGAAAATTAAAAAAAATGTTATTTTTAAATTCCCATGTTATTCTTATGGAGAATATTGTAAAATGTTGTAGTTTGCTTGTTTATGGATATATTTTAATCAAACTTGGTAAAATTATTTATTTTATACAAAGTTATTCATATTTTACCAAAAATACAATTTTTTACCCTCCCTGTAGCACCAAGCCTAGGTACTCATAAAAACTAATGTTAATTAAATACATACAATTGAAAATCAATTCAGGCAAATGGAAATTCGCTTAGTCGGCAGGTTTGCTGCGGCGGGGGTATTTTTATAAAACTTTCATTGAAGCGTTCAATTATTCACAGTTAAGGCAAACAAAAACCATCTGAACAACATATCAGGCCTTTTAACTCTAAATTTTCTCAGGTAAATACAATATTGACGTTATTAGAACAACTAATTGTGGCAGACAGGTTAAGCAGGAATGAGGAATTCAGGTAGTTCTTTAGTAATAATGTGAACAAATTATACTGTTATTTAAGTAAAAAAAAGTAAAATAATTATTTGTAAAGATATACTGGCAGCAATGACGAATATAGGCTAATCATGAACAATCTCATTCGGCTGAGTGGAAAATATTTGTAGGAATTAAACACTAAATAATAGCCTTTAAAAAAATGATAAAAAGTGGGTATTTCCATTTGTTACATAATCTTTGAGTTGACGCTTAACTCATCGGAAATTGTGACTGTTATTAGTTTGTAAATAACTCCTGAAAAAATACTTTGGTTTAATGAGCAACTATCACTGCAACTATAGTTTAACATTAAACAAACTACTTTGTTCCTATCGAATCGACTATTAGTTCTAATGAATGAGGACACTGAAGAGGCTTGGGATTTGAAGAAGAAGAAGCCGCACCGGTGTACGGATTGGGCACACGGGAGGGACTAAGGCTAAAGGTGTAGTGACGTCATATCTCTAGTGGCTAATGTCATAGACTAACCAACACAAGTAGGGGTCTGACTTAGGGGAGGTACAAATGAGGCATTTAGTTCAAAATTCCTCCGTGAACAGCGCTGTAGTAGAGAGCACTTTGGCAATGAAGGTTTACTAATCGCAAAAATAGTTCTGTTAATAAAATAAAATTATAAATGCCTCAAATTCAATTTTACTATTTTTTAACTAAACTATCATAACCTAACCGAACTAACCAAACTTGCTGATAAAGAAATAATATAACAAAAGTTTAGTAATCGGAAAAATAATTCTGTTTATTAAATAAAACTAGAAATTGCTCAATTAAAATTTTATAATGACTTAATAATAAAATTAAACTGTAATAACCAAACCAAACCAACCAAACTTGCTGATAGTAAAAAAATCTTGGACAAAAAGTTAACGCTACCAGCGGGATTCGAACCCGAGACCTACAGTGTATCAGCCCGGCACGCTAACCAATAGACCACCGAGGCCGATGGCTGTTGAACGTTTTGTTACGGTAATGGCGTTCCCTCAGCTAATAAAAAGATCTCAGCTTTCATCGTAGCCTCTTCTATACCTCCCCTGAGTAAATACCCACAAGTAGACTTCTCATCCCATTGTAAATTTTGAAGCTCGTTTTTCATGTCTAGTTCATGTACGCCACACTGGGCGCTAGTGTCGACGAAATTTTGTTTCTATTATATTAGGGTTAATTTCTTGATTTGTGCTTTACTGTTTGGTTAAATAACTAGAGGACAATTTATTGTTTATGATTAGATCGTATTATTTGGTTAAACGAGGTTTTAAATGACTGTATTAACGGGAATCGGTACTTCAGTATTGAACGGAGGCCACATTTTGTCAGCGCGCTGCGGCGGTTATGTTAGGTTGGGTTATCATAATAGAAAGTATCGTTCGATTCATAACGAAGCGAGGAAAGTCCTACACACATAATATTTACGATAACCCAACCTAACATAACCGCCGCAGCGCGCTGACAAAATGTGGCCTCCGTTTAATACTGAAGTACCCAAATTGTAAACAAAACACGACCTCTACATAAACCGTACAGCACTAACAATAAAATTGTCTTCAGCTGTTCCATTAGGATGAGAAATCTACTAAGGTTGTTTGTTTTATCTCTGCTAATGTCTTCTCTTGAGGCGACACGATTACCGTTACGAAACGATGAGATTTCAGCGGCGTTTGTGGCCTAGATGGTAGCGTTTCGGATTAGTGTTCAGGAGGTCCCGGGTTCGAATACCGCTGGCAACTCTAACTTTTTGTCAAAAAATTTTTCATATCAGCAAGTTTGGTTGGTTAGGTTAGGTTATGACAGTTTAATTTTATGATACTAAATTTTACCTTAGTCCCTCCCGTGTGCCCCACCGACCGATGTACCGTTCCGATTCCAATTCCGCTGTCCCAAGGCGCGGTGGTGGGGGGTTGTGGTCCTCCATGAACGGTCTCGTCAGTCGTCATCGTCACTGACAGTGTCAGCTCAGCAGTCTCGCCAGCCTGAGCCTGTGTCTGACTGAAAGAAAAATATAGAGTTGATAATAATACACGTCTGCATTAAGTTATTTAGTGATTAATTTTTCTATTTAATTGATAGTCAAGTCTTCTTAGGTGAGTTAGTTTATATTTCTCATAAATCTAACGCTATTACTAATAGTAAAAATTAAAATCTACGGGTTTTTCTTGTACCTAGGCAAAACTTAAAATATTAAGTTATTTGCCATAACGCGTTCTCCCTTTACTTTGGCAACCAAGATTTTGAAGTGTACAGATTAATTTATCTATTTTGATAGAAATAAAACAAAAATCCCACTCGGAGACTTAATAAGATTCTGAGCTACTTGAAATGCAATCAAGCTAAGTTATAACTTAAAACGTGTAATCTTCTCTTAGTAAGCATAATAGGCCTAGGTCTTATGTAATGGCCTAATAGGCCGAGCGCAAGTTTACAGAATTTTATTTTAGGAGTTTCTTGTTAATTTGGATTGTGGTAAAATTATCCCTCAATATAATTTTTGCGATGTTTCCGGGTTGTGATTAGGAAATTAAAAACCAGTTGAGATCAGAAATATATTTAAAAATGTTGATTAGGCCTATTAAATAACTTAAGTTAATTATTTTTTTCAGGTAATCAAGTACTACAATGTCAATTTATCCTTCTCTGGAAGACTTAAAGGTTGACCAACTTTGCAAGGTGAGGTAGGCCCCAACTTATGCTAACCAGTAGGCTATTAAACTTACGGCAAATATTTACTGTATTTACACTGGGATATGATGTAATTTGTATATGTCTACTTACAGTATTTTTAACGCTGAATCCAAAAATGCAATCAGTTTTGGTCGGAGAGATTCCTAAGTGGCGGTAGCGGCCGTAAAACGAAGGTTAGGATTACGAATCTAACAAGGATAATTGAGCGGTACTGAAGGTAATGGTAATATGGCGTGGTCTGGACGGGTCCGTACTGAGTGAAGAGTGAGGAGTGAGGACTGAGTGAGAAGAGCAAACAACTGTTTATACTTGATCTACTTAATGCGGAATGAAATCAAATAAATTTGTTTTGAAACCAAATGATCAGTTCTTATTTAGGCATGTGAGGAAGGTAGGTCGGGTTTTATGTGGATTCATGACTGTATTAAGTGTTTTGAAGTGAGGTTAGATTAGGAAGGTAAGGGTCAATGTCACATAATGATGAATTTTCAGGAAAGTCAAAAATTTTTTTTTTTACTTTTAAAATCGATATACTACTAGCCTATTACAATCAGTATTTACCAAGGAATAATGTATACTAATCAGCAGAGCTGAATTTTGTATACCTTAATTTATAACTCTATTTTTAGCTTGAAGGTCACACAAAAAATGCCAGTCGGTCACGCTGATGAATTTGCAAAAATAAAATAGTAAAAATGATATTAAATTAAAAATGTCATCATAAATGTTACTTATACCCCTCAAAATTCAAATAAACGAAACCAAAATATTTAATTTCGTTCAATTTGAGGAAATTTTAACAATTTGAGCTAACCTAAAATGAATTGGCTCTACTTTGCAGACGAAACTTTAGTATGAATGACAAATATTTCAACAGTGAATTGCAGTAAATTGTTGTTTGTACTGAAATATGATTGCCGGTATGGCATGTATCAGAAAACACATAAACATCATAATATAGGATAAGCAGTTAGTGAAATATATGTGTTTTGGTAAGCGTGAACTACTGGCGTTGACCGTGAACTACTGGCGCTGACCGTGAACTACTGGCATTGATGGCATTGAACAATGTATAACTGGAGTAAGTTACTGAAAAACACATCGAGAAATGGATATTAATTAGAAGAAATGTAAACCCAAATGTAATGTTTCAACAATATTTTAATGAAATCTTTTTTTTATGAAATTACAAACATAGCCTAACATTCTTTGGTCATTTGTGAAAGATTCATTTTGTTTAGAATTTGATGTTATAATGAAGGAACGACTACCATAAAATATTATACCCTAAACCTTATAGTTGTAAAAGAGCAACGACATTTAAAGTACAGCCAGTATTGTGCCAATCGTTCACGATATTCAACATCGTTCACGTGAACAACTGGAGCGTGAACGACTGGCAAATCTGATCTAAAATCTAGTCTATGAAAAGCTACATTTACTGCGTTGACATCCAATTTGAGGTTAGGTTCTAGGCCTAGAGACATTGTCAGAATATGCAATCCTTTTTATTGTAAGTTGCAAAGTTTGTGAGTTATTAAAGTGAACGACTTGAATCTTAATTAAGGTACTATGCATTTCTTATCTGTTTATCAGTTCATTTCTAAAAATCTTCTTAAAATTCACAAAATTGTTTAGCTGTGGCTACTGCGCAAACTCATCACAAGCACTAGAATGTGTTTTGCTGCCAAATTACGCATCGCCCCGTTACTTCTAGAACCCATTTTGTCGAAACGTCTTTGACATGCTGTACCTTGGGGACTGTCTTTAGACAATTAAAAAAAAAGTCCCCATCGTATTTAGAATTTTAATACTGCTTGTTTTTGATAGCAGACGATCTCCCGATGTTTATAGTTCCATTATATTGCAAAATTGTGAGGTTATGAAGTATTTATTATTTGAGTGAACATTACGGCATTAGGCTGGGGACAGTGAACGACTGGCAAATTATGATAAACAGTCTTATTTTTCTTATTGAATAAATTATGATTAGGATCTAAAACTATGTTTGCTGGAAAGGTAAGGGGTTGGATAATAATAACAACACATTATTACTTAAAATAATATTTTTATCTTGCATTTGTGCCCAAAGGACTTCAAAATCACCCATTATGTGACATTGACCCGTAAAGGTTAGGTTATAATGAACCGACTCATTAATTTATGCAACTTCCAGACTGTTTTTGCACAATTAAATAGTGGGTGAAACACAATGAAATAAGGATATCAAAAATGCGAAAGCCTATAACCTAACCTTTAACTTACCTAATCTAACCTCACTTCAAAGGACTTAATACTTATAACTTAGTCACGAATCCGCATAAAGTCTGACCTATCTTCCTCACATGCCTTTTCTGACATAAAATGCGATTTAAACATTAATATTAAGGTTGGGTTGGATTAGATTAGATTAAGTAACATCATTTATTAGTTGCTGATACATTAAATTATGCACTGTGGCACGTTTTCACTTTTAGACACTATGGGATTATGCACTGTGGCACGTTCATTACCAGACGTTGAGGCATTAGTCAATGATTGAGGATTGGAATGAGGACGATGATCATGTCGGCAGTGGCCTAGCTTCTATTACTGATATTTTACGTGAATAAATTCTATTTTCTTTTATAATTTATGTATTTATGTTCATGTGATTAATAGTTTATGTATGGTAGTTGATTTATTGTATTTTATAAACATCACCAAAGTCCATTTTCTTTTTAAAATCTAGTTAATGCATATATTGTAACTCTGATTTTGCTCTCATGGCGTCATGTGTGGTTTTGTCTGTTTAGTATAGAATGTAAACAACTGACAGCTGTTTCCACTCCACAAACCTTCCACCCCTTTTAGTGTTAGTCGCCACTAGAACTTGGACTCGTCTATACCACAAATATGGTAATATATCAACAAAACCGAAGCATAATATTAATTATATAACTGTACGGCCACTTAGGAATCTCTTCGACCAAAACTGATTGCATTTTTGGATTCAGCGTTAAAAATACTGTAAGTATACATATCAAAATTACATCAAATCCCAGTGTGAATAGGGTAAATAATTACCAAACTTACATTTAGTCCTAAGCTATTAACTTAACTTACTTAAGTACCTTATACATTTTAAGTTATCATATTTTTTAGGGCTAGACTTTTTTTTAAAAGTAAGACTTAGATCCTACAGTTTTGGAATACATATACACATAAGTACATATATCCTCTCCCTCTCCGATTATCTTTGGGACTGGGTTCTCTCACTAGGCCTCTCCATCTTCTTCTGCCCTTCCACAATTCCACTTCCTCCACATATTGCCATTGCACTCCTCTTGCTTCCACATCACGTTTCACCTTGTCGAACCACCTTCTTCTCGGTCTTCCTCTTGGTTCTTCTTCCATCCGATTGTTTATTGATCTCTACTCATGATAATGTTAGCTATAACTATGTAAAATTACTGGGTATACACATTGATAGTAGGTTATCATGGCAGCAGCATATAGACTCTATTTGTGCTCGATTATCCAGAGTGGTTTGCCTATTTAGTAATTTAAGAAATCATGTAACTGACACTTATCTATAATTAGCCTACTTTGCATTCTTTGAAAGCATTACGGTAATAGATATGGCATTGTTATTTGGGGAAATGGAGTATGAATCACAGATGTTTTGAAGGTACAAAAGAAGGCGATAAGGATTGTGACTGGTAAAGTAGAAAACGAGACCATTGTAAGCCATTGTTTGTAGAATCTGATATATTAACTGTAATTAGTCTGTACATACGGTATATGAAGTGTCTATAAAAAAAAACTACCACAAGTACGTAATTAGAGATAGTGTCCATAGTTACCAAACAAGAAATAGAGGTAGGCTACATTAGATTTAGATGGAGTAAGGCTGTCAAGAACTCAGAATTACCATACCTACTCATGGTGGAAGGAAAAAACATAGGTGTGCTATTCCCGTCATATTCTGACGTCACTCGGATTGCAAATAAAAGATCACCTGATTGTAACTGTCAAATTAGTATGTATTTGTTTTGATTAGATTGTTATTGTTTGTATAATAATAAAAACAATAACAACCAAATCAAAACAAATCCATATAGGGCCTAGGCCTACTAATTTGACAGTTACAATCAGGTGATCTTTTGTTTGCAATCCGAGTGACGTCAGAATATGACGGGAATAGCACACCTATGTTTTTTCCTTCCACCATGATACCTACTTGGGTCTTAAAATATTTAATAAGTTTCCTGTTGATTTCAGCTCTTTGCCTTTAAATGTATTCTCTGACAAACTGTTAAAGTGGTGCAAAATCAATCCAATGTACAAAATAGATGATTTTTTAAATGTTAAATTCATAAACAAGGATCTAGATTTAAAAAAATAACCTTTATTTATATATTCTGTTTGACGAAATCTATTGTAATTTTGTAATTACTGAACGATGAATAAATTGTCTATTGTCTAACCATTCGAAGTTCACTCATTCTTTTCGGGATTCTTTCATTCTCCATTCTTCTTACGTGGCCGAACCATCTTAATCTCGTCTTCTCTACTCGTCCTCTCAAACTTTCTTCAACTATTTATTCCTCTTCTCAGATCTTCATTCCTCATTCTGTCTAATCTTGATTTACCTTTTATCCCTCTTATAAACTTCATCTCCCCTGCCTGAACCCTAAAACTCCATTATCCTCTCTTTTATGTTCCAAACTTCAGCACCATAGGATTGGTAGGCTAGGTATATATAGTACGTGTTGTACATGGTAACTTGATATTTATTTAGTACTTGCTGCTGTCCCGTGCTTTGCAACGGGAAGAGGACACAAAAACGAAACATTTTGATCTTTACATTTGTTGTATAAAAAAGTTACACATCCACTAACGCTTTTTGAAACAAAATTCGGCTGCACTTTAGTATCCATTGACATAAATATAAAAAAAATATATTCTATAATGAAGTTTTATATTAAATTGAATAGTACTGCACACTGTTGGTAAACCTTTATAACTTGTTGAATGCTATTTAATAGCATAGATCCAACTTAAACAGCTGACAAAATGCTTTTATTCCTTTTAAATATGAATACTCATAAGGTTAACATGGGAAACTCCAGAGCCACTGACTGGGGCGGACCCCGAAAGGACTTTTGAGATAAGAATGCGTCTATACTTTATACTTATACTTTATACTTATACTTTATACTTTCTTATGAAATGGCGACCATACAAATGTAGGTATTTTAAGCCAAGTATGAATGGAGATGAGTGTAGGATGAGTGGTGCATGTTATTCGGGAATGTGAGCTATCATCACACCAAATTTTAGCCCAATCCGACCAGTATTTTTCGCGTTTACTTGTTACAAACATACATACATCCATACATCTAAACTTTCTCATTTAGTAAGATAGGTGCCTCCAGACAAATTTTTAATTTTGATATTTTACTTAATAGTTTTTTACCTCCTTAATCCAAATATACCATTATTTTTCACCGCTGATGGATATTTCTCAAGATATCGCCGTAAAAATATATAACATTACAATTAACAAGGTAGGATGGATGACATTACATTGGAATGAACTGTGTATTTTTAGATGGACTACATTTTGTATATTTAGCTTATCCTGTACCTATCTCTAATAATAAAGTCACTATAGCCAAAAATACATAAATATGCTACCATTTTCCAACATGGCGGCCGTAGCACTGGTTCAAGTTTAGGGGACTTTTAGTATGTTGTTCAAAGGTTTATTGCGGACATTTTCCATCACGAAAGTAAAAAACAATACACAACGTTTCGGGATCTGGAATCTGATCCCGTCTTCAGGTGAAAAAACTTAACTAACACATTACAACTAACAATACACAAACGCCCAACCTAAGTTGGAATACACTACCGAGGGTAGTAGTCAAAAAATATGCACTGTATAGCAGTCAAGTCATGATACAACATGCAATTAAGGGGAGCTGAACCGCCCATAAGAGCCCATGTTAAATTCTCAAAGTTTAGGTAAATCTTTCTCGGAAACTATTTAACCTACAGCTTAGAAATTGTAGACAGTTAATATATGTGCTTCAAGAGTGTGTTGAACTAGAATTATGTTTCTATGGTTACAAATTTTATTTTTTTATATTTTTGAAAAATGCTATTTTTTTTTTAAACAAAAAATATTTTTTTTTTATTTTTGTAATTTTTACTATTGATCCTATGGTGATAATTCTAGTTCCACATATTTGTAGTGATGTAAGGTACACTTGGTAAAAATTTCATCAAGATATGTTTATTACTTCTTGAGAAAAGTGTACCTTTATCATTAAAAAAACAAGTTTTCGGAAAGTCGCGAACAAAGATGACACTACTAGGCCACTAGATGGCCTTACTAGGTCTACTCCCTATGCTCAGAAAATTTGGTGCTTTACTTTGTTTTTTGTTTTTTTCTAGTTTTGGGAGGTGATACCTATTAATATATATATATATATATATATATATATTCTTTTTCAGGATAAAACAAAGAATCTAAAACTAAAATAAATTTTTTTTTTTTTAATTAAAAAATTTTAGGTTCAGCTCCCCTTAATAACAAATCACAAAACACTATAATCTATAAAAGGTTTACGTACAAAAAACTCACACAATGGAACACTAACAACACCGTACGCTATGACTCCACCAATGAAACTGCAAAGCACCAAATTTTCTGAGCATAGGGAGTAGACCTAGTAAGGCCATCTAGTGGCCTAGTAGTGTCATCTTTGTTCGCGACTTTCCGAAAACTTGTTTTTTTAATGATAAAGGTACACTTTTCTTAAGAAGTAATAAACATATCTTGATGAAATTTTTACCAAGTGTACCTTACATCACTACAAATATGTGGAACTAGAATTATCACCATAGGATCAATAGTAAAAATTACAAAAATAAAAAAAAATATTTTTTGTCTTAAAAAAAATAGCATTTTTCAAAAATATAAAATAAAAATAAAATTTGTAACCATAGAAACATAATTCTAGTTCAACACACTCTTGAAGCACATATATTAACTGTCTACAATTTCTAAGCTGTAGGTTAAATAGTTTCCGAGAAAGATTTACCTAAACTTTGAGAATTTAACATGGGCTCTTATGGGCGGTTCAGCTCCCCTTAATTGCATGTTGTATCATGACTTGACTGCTATACAGTGCATATTTTTTGACTACTACCCTCGGTAGTGTATTCCAACTTAGGTTGGGCGTTTGTGTATTGTTAGTTGTAATGTGTTAGTTAAGTTTTTTCACCTGAAGACGGGATCAGATTCCAGATCCCGAAACGTTGTGTATTGTTTTTTACTTTCGTGATGGAAAATGTCCGCAATAAACCTTTGAACAACATTAACTCACCATCACCAACAATGAACTTCAAACTTTTAGTATGTTGAAAAGGAAGATACTCTTAACATTTGTACCAAATTCCTTGGTTGTGCTAATTTTTTTTGGGTCAAAACATATTTTATTGTACTAAATATAATTTGTGTAAAGTAACAACTGTAAACATTCAACGTTTGTGACATAAATTCTGCATTTGGATAAAAAAAATGAAATGACATATATGTAGGATTGACGTATTTATACTATGTGTAATGGTATAATCATTGATAAGTTTATTTATTCAGTAAGAGGATGACGGATTAATTAAATATATATAGTAAAATACTACATGGTCTAATTCATTTTTTAGAACAGTCTTTAAAATGTTGGGTTTTCTTTAGTGAAATATCATTTGTTTGAACTAACAGCTGAATAGATATAAAATATTCTTTTGAACAATGGGGTTATTTTATTTAGTTTACGATTTTGTCATTGATTATAGGAAATAAGTAAGATTAGTAGAGATAAGTAGACTACAGAGATAAGTAAGACCATTGCTGTAGTAGGCCTATACAAATGGAAGCTCTGCCCACGACTCTTCAAAGAGCCTATGCAAATTATTTTACTGCTTGACTTTTTGAGGAAAGAGTAGGAGAATAACAATTTTTACATGTTTTCTTGGCAGCTTTTTGTTTAGGGCCTACAATAAATTGTTGACTGCTTAAACTTTGTTTGGATTAGACCTGGATATATTTATTTATGTTATCAAACAATGAGATCAAGGATGATCAGGAATCACAATTTTAAATTACTACCCCCAACCTCTGACGGGCTTTATGCAGAGATAAACAGATGGATGACATGGATCAAACACAATGCTATTATTGACCTAGGATCCTGCAAGTAGACTTACTATCTTTTTGTAAAATCTAAAACGTTGTTTGGCGTCTGTTCATGTGTGGTTGCGTTTGGGTGTGCTGATATAGGCTAAATATCACTTATATTCCAACTAAATATCTTATAGCTTGAATAAATGATTGTAGGAAATTAGGGTGTACTGTACATAGATTCAATGAGAGTGGGAGTAATTATTACAGATATTAGATTTTGATGCAGTGGAATTGATATAGGCTAAAGGTATGGATGATTTATTACGTTAGGAGACCAAAGTTGTAATATGTGAACCGTGAATTTTAACACAGTGGATATGTTAAAATTGTTTCATTTTAGGTAGTTTTTTAGTTGGACTTAGGCCTACTTGAAATTGTGTATACTGTAGTATGAGTGGGTTATTCTGAATTATAGAAGAGGCAGGTAGATAGAGGGGAATGGGAGGGCAGAATCCTCTTAAGGTTTCAGTATGGCCACGGAGGTAAGGTATGGTAAGTGATAGCATAGATAAAACATACTCCATCATACTCCCTTAAGTAAGTAATGAGTAATTTGTAATAAGTAAGTAATTAATTGTGTTGGTTAGTCTATGGTGATGGTATGCTATGGAAGGTGGTACAGTTGACTACACTTCTGCTCAATCGACTATACTCTCTCTATTGTACAATTTGTGTGTGCAAATCGGCCGGCCGCAAATATCACTTTAAGGCTTTTCACGTCGACAAAATACGGTATTGTTTTATTCTAAAATTATCGTATTTAAAAAGCATTATCGTACAGGCCTATAATCGAATGGAAAAATTTATGGTCACGTGAAATTTGTTTACAAGACGATTTTTCACATTAAAACTGCCAGAAAATTTTTTTTATACGTGTAAACTAGCTGTTCGCCGAATTATTCACAGTTTTAAATGACCACTCGATTCCTGTACTTAGGACGGGCTAACAGCTCGTATCAATAATAACAATAAAAGACTACTCTTTTAAGCAGTTTTTACTTTTTTACCTCATTCATTCCTTTACGTATATAAAAGTATAAAATATATAAATTCGTTCCGGGACCTTTCAATAACACTGTATGAACTGAAGATGTATAGTTGGATTAAGTTATTTCATTGTATTTTTATTTCTATCTATTTATGTATGTCAGGTTAGTAAAAACCATAACTTTGCTTGAACAACTAAATAATTTTTCATTTAATTTCATTTTAACTTTGTAGGTTATGTTGTTGCTAATAAAAATTATTACCATTAGGCCTATAACCAAACTTTTCCAAATACCATACAGTCACAGTATTTCCAAAAGGTGGGACTATTTACAGAAGATAAATTAACTACCTAATAATTTTGCATTTTTCCAGGCCCAACTTCACTTGGAGTCACAGTACTTACCTTCCTACGGTGCCACCTCTGCGCAGACTGCTGTTTCTTACCCCTCTGCTCCTCTATATCCCTCCATTGACAATCCCTCTCCTCTTCCATACCCTGTTACACCCCAGACTAACCCGACCTACTCCATATCCTCTAATGTATACCCGTCGCTTGCAGACTACATGGGCTTAGAACTCTCTCCGGCAGTGATTGCTGCAAACATGCCTGAATACGCTGGAACCGTCGCTATACAGCCACCAGTAAGTATAAAATATTCTTTTCACTACACTACTATGAGTTGACCTGTTTTCTTTATGTGATTACTACCTGCTAAACATCATATTTTCAACTGCTGTCTATTGTTTATTACCGAAAGTAACATTGTTTACAACCGAAAATTTTCCACTGTCAACTACTTCAAATATTTGTTATTGTTTTATCAACTGTGTCAATTTTCAACAACTAAAACTATTAACTTTAAATTGAAGGCATAACCTAAAAAATTCTATGAGTTTTATAATGAAGAAAATAATTATTCTTTGTAGTGTAGCGAAAAGTAACGTTCAAAACACGAGTGAAAGTGGGTCTATACACATTCTCGACCATTTAAAGTGCTCGATAAATCTCGCACTTCAAACATGGTCTCAAATATGTAAATATGTAAATGTCAAGGTCAAGGTATGTACTGATTCACTTTCTACTCTTGTTATGAAATATACTATTTATGTCCAGTTTTTGCTAAAATACATTCCTCAAGTGTAACTTAATTTGTTTATTTTATTTCAAAATAGGTCCAAATTTGGCAGATAAAATCAAATATAGACAAGTGTAAACTGTAATAACTGTATAATTGCATAGTGCATTATTTTGGATGACGGGGTGGTAATGATAAGGCTTTATTTAATTGGAACACACATGTACTTTACTTGAAATCTGAGTACACATTTACTACATGGAAGCCATTTTCAGATAGGAGAGAGCAATTATGCACACAGCCACTATGATTATAAAGTGTTACATATTACTATGTAACAAACATCAAACACAGTAAGCTCAATAGCTAAATTTCTTTGTTTGTAATAAAACCATGTTGATTTCCTACCTTACAAATTATTAGTTCTCTGGATTAGTACAAGGATTAATTTGACAATGCCTAGGTGACTTTGCTTGTGTTTTACAGAGGGAGATGTCAAGGCTGGAGGGAGGCATGGTTGCTCCTATATCTAACCTTACTCAGGGACTACAGAAAGCTCAAGTCAACCATGGGATTAGAGAGGTTCACAATTATTTGTACATACCTGTAGCATTACAAGTTTTAAATCAGTACTAGGGGAACCCGTATAATTTCACACGTAAATATGTCAACTTTACTGTATAAATAAATGTACAGTATTTTGTAAGTCCTAAAGGAATAAATCAATATAACTTTAGGGTAAAAATCAATAACACTTTATATCCATAACAACTTGGTACACAATAAAACACTCATCGCTTACCCATGATATAGGCGGTTGACAAGCGAATGGGGGAAAGTATGTGTCAGATTGCTGATTCCATTTATTTTGGTTTTTTTCCGTTGGCCTGGACTTTTTTATGTTGTTGAGTTAGAAAAGTTGTTGTGATATTGGATCATATGTATAATATTCTATTCTATATTGTCTTGTTAAAAGCATATGGTTTATGTTTTGGTTATGATGTTTGTTTTAGTGTTGAGATGGCAATAAGATAAAATTGTTCTTTCTTTTACTAGTTTGTTTTATTCTTTTGTGAATATACTACATTGGCGACGAGGATGTCTAGAAAGAAGCAGAAGAGTGACAGGGAAGTTGATGAAGAGTCTCACAGTGAGTTGGAGAGGAAAATGGAGAAGTTTGTCTTTGAGAAATACAAATGTGAAGAAACAGCAGAAGAGTATATTGAACATTTTCAACGTGTTTGTCGGGTGAAAGGGTTGAAGGGTTCAGATGAGCGTAGTAAGGAGGCGAGAAAAGACTTACTACTGGCTTATGTGGGAAGTGAACCACTCCAGAAGATGCAAAATTATTTCATCCCGAAGAACCTTGATTCTTGTTCATATGAAGAAATTAAGACTGCATTTTTCACACTGTATGGTCCAAACCAAACGATTTTTGCTGCCCATTTTGAGTTTGAAAGAGCTGTTAGAAATGAAAGTGAGTCCTTCACAGAATATTTCACCCGGTTAAAGAAACTAAGCAAACACTGTCGGTATGGCCAAGGCTTGGATGAACGGATCCGGGATCGTTTCATCGCAGGGGTGTTCAATGAACAATTTGAAGTGGAAGTAAGGCATCGTTGGCCGGATGGTGTAGAGACCGGTGGCAGTGTTGTCACGGCAGAGAGAGCGTTCCAGCTGGCCAGGTCGATGGAGCGTGCCAGAAACGAGGTGAATGCCAATACTACATCGAACGTATGTTTTGTCAAGAAGCGGCAAACAACTGGTCAAGTGAATGGATGTGAGAACTGTGGCAGATATAAATGTGTCAAGGAGAAATGTCCAGCAAAAGGCCAGGAGTGTCTCAAATGCCGGAAGATAGGACATTTTGCTAGGGTGTGCAAAAGGAAGTTTGTCAGTAAAATTGACACGAAGTATTCCGATGGTGAGCACAGTTCAGATGGGGAGGAATCTGGTCTTCATGCTCTTAAGAAGATTTCAAACAGAACTCCACGTGCCTCAATAAGAGTGAATGTTAATGGACTGCCCTGCCTTATGGAATTCGATTCTGGTGCTAGAATTTCTACAATTGGGCAGACATTATGGAAGAAACTCGGTAAGCCCCAGGTTAAACCTCTCTCCGGGTTGACAGGCTATGGTCAAACACCGTTAGCATGTTTAGGCAAATGCTATGTGTCAGTGTGTTTGAATGGGGAAACTAGGAAATTACCAGTGGCAGTAATGGAAAAAGATGACATTCCATTGTTTGGACTTCCGTGGATGGTATCATTTGGAATGAAACTTCCACCTGAAGTTAGTGTAAAATCAAACAATGTAACAAATGATGATGTGAATATTACGGACCAATCACTGGTGAAGGAATTTGATAGTGTTTTCTCTGATGGATTGGGTAAAATTGAAGGAGTAAAGGCTAGAATACATGTCAAGAAGGATTTTCCACCAATTGCACTGAAAGCCAGAAGAGTACCCCTTCCTTTGAAAAATTCCGTAGAGAATGAGCTGAACCGACTAGTTGAGTGCGGAGTCTTAGAGAAGGTTGATCCAAGTGAAACAGCAATAGTCTGGTCAACGCCTACTGTAAATGTCAACAAAGGAGGTGGTAGGGTTAGGATTTGTGGAGACTTCAGGGTTACCGTGAACAAGGCGATTGTGCCTGAAGTTTATCAGATGCCTACTTTTGCTGATTTGACAAACAAAATTGCTGGAGGTCGATTATTTACTGTAATTGATTTGAAAGATGCATACTTACAGTTAGAGGTTGCAGAGGAAGATCGAAACTACTTAATAATAGCTACTCATATGGGGCATTTCCGCTACAAACGCCTTGCATTTGGCTTAACTGATGCTCCAGCCAAATTTCAGCGTTTCATGGAAAATCTCCTCAGTGATATCCCTTTGGGTGGGGTGAACATAGACGATATCATAGTCAGTGGAAGAACCAAAGAAGAGCACCTGGGCAATGTCAGAACAGTGTTGAAACGTCTCGAAGCTGCGGGGATAAAGGCGAAGAAAGAAAAATGTCAGTTAGGTCGAAACAGTGTCTACTATTTGGGGCATAAAATTGATCAAGATGGAATACATCCTAGGGAAGATAAAGTAAAGGCATTAAAGGAAGCCAAGACTCCAACAAACAAGAAAGAGCTTCGAGCGTTTTTGGGAGCCATCAACTATTATGAGAAGTTCATTCCTCACCTTCATGGTCTTTGTTCAAGATTACACCGATTAACAAGTTCTAAGACTTCTTGGGTGTGGAATCACCAAGAACAAGAGGAGTTTGACCTTACCGAGATGATTTGCCCATAACAGTATCCTCTGATGCCTCGGAGGTTGGTGTAGCAGCAATTATTCTACAAACTGATCACGATGGGGTAGAAAGACCAGTTGCATTTGCTTCGCGTACTTTGCAGGAATCAGAAAAGCGATATTCATCAATTGACAGGGAAGCACTTGCTTGCGTGTTTGGAGTGGTCAAATTCCACCAGTATCTTTATGGCAGACATTTTACCTTAACTAGTGACCACAAGCCTTTAGAGAGAATATTTGGTAAACATCGGGATTTGACCAAGACGATGAATAACAGGTTGGTTCGATGGGCTATTTTCTTAAACAACTACGACTTTGATATAAAGTATATAGAAGGTAGGAACAACGTGTTGGCGGATGCACTCTCTAGACTGCCCAGCGAGAGTGACCTCCCATCAAGAGAAGAGTTGTCTGCAAAACTACTGGTTCAGGAAAAGATAGACGATATGGCTATGACATCAAAGGAACTGCAAGAAGAAACTAGAAAAGATGAGACTTGCAAGCGGGTAATGATGTTTATGGAATCACAATGGCCACAAAAGTTGCCTAATGATCTTTCATATTTGTCTCCATTTTTTCACAGACGGGAAGAACTCTCTTCTGTGAAAGGAATTCTGATGTGGGGAAATAGAATAGTGGTTCCACAGACCCTTCAAAAGAAAACACTACGTGTTTTACATCAAGGACATCCTGGAATTGAAGCTATGCGGAGTTTGTCACGGTTCTATGTGTGGTGGAGCAAGATTGACGAAGACATAGAAACATATGTGAAGACTTGTAATGGGTGTCAGATGAACCGTCCAAGGGAACCGGAGGTACCTCTGTACTCGTGGAATGTACCAGATGGTCCATGGGAACGGTTACACTTGGATTATGCTGGACCATTTGATGGGTGGTATTGGTTAGTTGGTGTAGATGCATTTTCTAAATGGCCAGAGATATCAATGGTTAGATCTATTACGGCTGCCAGTACAGTGAACAAGTTACGGGAATGGTTTTCTCGCTATGGAGTTCCTAAAATGATAGTCACTGACAATGGGACACAGTTTACGTCAGAGCTATTTGAGAAGTTTTGCAAGGATAACGCGATAAAACATGTCTGCAGTACACCATATCATCCGAAGACGAATGGCCAAGTTGAACGGTTCATCAAAACATTCAAGTCAAGATATTTGTCCAGCAAAGGTGACAGGCAAGATCAAACACAAAGGTTGGTGAAGCTATTGTTTGCCTACAGAAACACACCACAAAAATCTACGAGCAAGCCTCCATCTGAACTGTTCTTCGGCAAAAGACTTCGATCTCCATTGGACAATTTGAAGCCTACGGTGAAAGACGTGATAGCAGGATCAGTTTTTAAACAAAAGGAGTATCACGATGGCAAAAGTAGACGTAGGGAATTTTCTGAGGGGGAAGAAGTCTGGGTGCAGAGAGAAATAGGTGCCGGCTGGAATCCAGGAGTGATTGCATCAAGAACTGGTGAGCTATCATACCAAGTCAGGGTTGGTGGACTTCTGAAGCGAAAACACGCAGACCAGCTACGTAAGAGAAGCGGAGCTTTATCTGAAGGGGGAGAAGTGTGATATTGGATCATATGTATAATATTCTATTCTATATTGTCTTGTTAAAAGCATATGGTTTATGTTTTGGTTATGATGTTTGTTTTAGTGTTGAGATGGCAATAAGATAAAATTGTTCTTTCTTTTACTAGTTTGTTTTATTCTTTTGTGAATATACTACAGTTGTACATGTACAGTAGAACCATGCTAATCCGACCTCTGATGGTCAGACTCCTCGCTTGGTCCGACCATACCGCCAACACAATAGGCTTCCGCTAACATAACCTTATTGTTGAAGAAAAATACCCAGAAAATTTTATGAATTGTGTTTTTCTTTAGTCTAATGTGTTGAAATTCGTTGTATATTTAACCATGTCTGCGCATTATTAATATTAAGTAGGCTTCCACGTTATTGTTTTTGGAAATCACAGTTCATTTGACAAAAATAAAATGGAAGCAAAACAAAGGAATGCCGATCAAAGCTTCAAGGTCAAGCTATCCGTTTGCACTTACAATTGTCTGCTCCTTAGGCCTACACACGACACATCTGTCCGCTGTGCGCTTGCTATGTCACAACATTTTGTGATTGGGTATTTGGTAATCATGTCAACTTTAGTAGTATGTGATTGGGTGTTTAGTAACCACGGCAACTTGTTGAATGGGTGGATGAAGAGAAACTTAAGAAAAAATAGAAGAACAAAGAGAAAGAATAAGTGATGT